CCCTCCCTCAAAAAAATCCATGGGAAAAACATCCTCGGATGAGGATTAACAAGACGAAAGGAAGGTGACCGAAGGGTAAGTCCTAGATCGGTGCCAGCCAGGGTAGGACTGTTGTAGGGAAGACTTGTCAGCGGTAAGATGGAAACAGGAAAGAGCCCTGTGGCCAGTGCTGCTCTAGGGCGGTGGTCCTCTGTCCCAGCAGCAGCGTCCTGAGTCTGACACAAAGGTGGGAGCTGAGTGGTGCCTGGAGCGTGTCTCCTGGACACTAGGGGAGGAGGGGTGTCCCCTTTACAACAGGTGACTAGGAGAGACTTCTTGGAGGAAGTAACATTAAAGCCACGGCCTGAAGGAGGTATAGGAACCAACCTGATGAGTGGAAAGAAGAGCCTTTGGGAAAGGCGCCAGAATGTGTAAAGACCCCTGAAACCTGTATAATGTTATTAACCGACATCACCCCAATCCATTCAATTAAAAAGTAAAAAGCTGGAAAGAGCTTGACACAGTCGAAGAGCATGGCTTGAGCTTGTTCTAGGTAGGTCAAGTCAGCAAGTTTTCTGAACCTCCATTGCACACAGTAAAGTAGATATAATGCTGAATTCACAAGGTTTGATGAATATAAAGTCGAAGCGTATAGGAGCAGCCACATCCAAAGCACGTCTCTCTCTCCTCTGGATCAAGGGTGTTGAACCATTGCCCATCATCACATTAAGCTCCCGAGCTTGAGCAGGGGCCAGGACCCACAGGACCCTGACGGAGTGGGGATATGGCCCTAGGAGCCATGGAAGAGCCTTAGTGTTTACACAGGAGTGCCAGCTGCTCTGGTTTTCATTTGTACAAATTGCCCTGGCTGCTTGGGTGGGGACAGATGGGAGAGGAGATGCCAGAAGTTAGATATTGCCTTGCAAAGGAAATACCCTTCTTCCTCTCAGAAAGTGTAGACACGGGTGTTTTCAGGTGAAGAGAATGGGAAACGGGGCTCACATTAGATGGGGCTCACCTCAGGAGTTTTGGTGCCAGAGAATCTGGAAGACGGAGTTTGCCAAGCATCAGCAAACGCTGAGATACTGGGCCAAAATGGTAGGATTTTATAATAATAAAATTTTTTTTAGTGTCTTTGTTGATTTCAGAGAGAGGAAGGGGGAGAGAGAGAGAGGGGAACATCAATGATGAGTCATTGATCGGTTGCCTCCTGCACGCCCCCAACTGGGGATCAAGCCCTTAACCCGGGCATGTGCCCTGACTGGGAATTGAACCGCGATCTCCTGGATCATAGATCAATGCTCAACTGCTGAGCCACGCTGGCCAGGCTATAATTTTTTTTAAAAGAGAGAGAAGGAGAGAAAAACATCGATTTTTTGTTCCACTTATTTCCTTGGCTGCTTCTTGTATATGCCCCTGACCTGAAATCAAACCTGCAACCTTGGATATGGGGACTGCACTCTAACCAACTGAGCTAGCCAGGGTGGATTTTGTAATTTTTCAACTTTAGATTTCCCAGGAACAGAAATGGGAGAAATACAGTGCTGATGACTCAGAATTGGCAATGGAACTGATGCACCCAGGGAAGGGTTGACAGATGTTTGAGGTTGAATGGGTTTTTGGGGGTGGGGGAGCAGGAAGGAAGAACAGATCTACCTAAATGGGAGAGAAGTGCCTGCAGGGCACATACCTGGGTTGCAGGCTCCATCCCCAGCCCGGGGTCAGGGCCCATGCGGGAGGCAACCAATCTCTCTCTCTCCCCCTTCCACTCTCTCTGAAAAGTAATGGGAAAAAAATCCTCGGGTGAGGATTAAAAAAGAAAAAAAAAAGGACTCATTTAAAAATTCTAATGGGGCCCGGCCAGGCGTGGCTCAGCGGTTGAGTATCGACCTAGGATCCTAGGTGATCGGGGTTCAGTTCCCAGTCAGGGCACATGCCCAGGTTGCGGGCTCGATCCCCAGTTGGGGGCGAGCAGGAGGCGGCCGATCAATGACTCTCATCGATGTTTCTCTCTCCCTCTCCCTTCTCTCTGAAATCAATAAAGATATATTAAAAAAAAAAACTAATGGGAAAAAGCTTTACTCTCTATCTAAAGGTTCTTTTGGCTTATTGTAGGAGGCAGAGGGAAGGTGAAAAGCAGGCGATAGATGGAACCAGAAAGAAAGAGGCAAGTTAAAGAATGACCCACTAGCCCGGCCGGCGTGGCTCAGTGGTTGAGCATCGACCTAGGATCCAGGAGATAGAGGTTCGATTCCCAGTCAGGGCACATGCTGGGGTTTCGGGCTCAACCCCCAGCAGGGGGCGTGCAGGAGGCAGCCAATCAACAACTCATCACAGATGTTTCTCTCTCTCCCTTCCTCTCTCTGAAATCAATAAAAATATATTAAAAAAAACACACACGATCCACTAGATTGGCACGTTCCTTGTTTTTTCACTTGAGCTGTGTACTTCATTGGTGTTTCACCTCTCACCTTGGCCTTCAGATTACTGCCTCCTCTCAGGTCCTCTCCTAAGTGCACAGAGCAACAGTAGGCTGGCTGCCTGACCCGCCCTCCTGAGGCTGGGTGAAGGGAGAAAATGGCCCCTCCGGCCCCACTAGGGATGAGGCCTGTGAAATTTAGGAAGTTGTTGCCCTCATGTGGCCAATCTGGAAAATAACAGCCAAGAAACTTGTAGGGTAGTGACTTGTTTTCCAGATCAGCATCAGCAACACCAAGGAGCTTATTAGAAACGCAAAATCTTGGGATCCATCCCAGAACTACTGAATCAGAACATTTGTCCCGGCCGGGCGTGGCTCAGCGGTTGAGCGTCGACCTAGGATCCTAGGCGATCAGGGTTCGATTCCCGGTCAGGGCACATGCCCGGGTTGCAGGCTCGGTCAATGACTTTCTCATCATTGATGTTTCTACCTCTCTCCCCCCCCTCCTTTCCTCTGTCTGAAATCAATAAAGATATATTTTTTTTTTTTTAAAAGGAACATTTGCTGGCCTCCACCCTCAATCTTCTTTTTAATGGTTTTAAAATTTGATTTTAGAGAGGAAGGGAAAGGGAGAGAGAAACATCAATTGGCTGCCTTCCCTGCACCCTGATTGGGAATAGAACCTGCAATCTGGGCAAGCGCCCTGACTGGGAATCAACTGGCCACCTTTCAGTGCACCTGAGCCACCGGGTCAGGGCCCCAATCTGTCTTTTAGCGCCCTTCAGATGTTCTGATGAACACTAAAAAGCCGAAAGCCCTCCCCACAAAATGTAATACACTCCTAATTCTAGGTTCAAGAACAGATTTGAGTAACTTCCTATTCAAAGTTAACCCTATCCCTCCCTGTTCTGGCTTCCAAAACCTCATCTTCCCAGGAACCGTTCCATCAACAAGGCCCTCAATTTAATACCTATCCTTAGCAGCTAGTAATCTGGCTCCTACCTCTCGCAGCAGGCCTTCTCCTCCAGCTCTGCAGTCACTTTTCGGGGAGAGCAGCCTGCACCTTCCTTCCCCTCCGTCTTTCCCACTGGAACTGCTCTGAAAGCACTGCTCCTGGGTTTCTCCTTCAGCCATGCTCCCTGCTTTCCTTCCTCCAACCCTCACTTAAACTCCCCCGAGCGACTCCACAGGGCTGGCAGGTCCAACCACAGCGGCTGCGCCCACCCCACCTGCCGCCCCAGCTCCGGGCTGTGTTCTTGGGCCCCACTGCTTGCTGAGACCACTGGTCCTGGGGTTCACTGAGCCTGTAAGTTCCTCTTCAGTCGTCCACGTCAGCAGCCTTTCACTCCCATCAGCTCTGTGACTGAAGGTAGGTCGTGTGAGTGCCACTCAAAGAACTGAGACTCCACAAAGGTTTGTATGAATGTATCGAAAACATCGGGTAATGGCTGGGTCTTGTTTTTTAACGAGTCCAAACACACAGGGAGGTTAAATAAGCTGCTTCTCTTTCCACTGTTTATTATTAATGTACAAAATATACAAAACCAAAAGAAAAAAAATACTCATCCTCAAATCCATTGTGGCTCTAACCCAAGACCCTGCACAAAACCCAACCAATCCAGTTTTCATAGAAAACAACTGATGCCGAGACAGGTGGAGGAGGGCTGGGTAAGGGCCAGCTGTGTTGGTGAATGCACCCAGGAAGGTGCCTGGCGGGGACTCAGAGGTGGCCTCACTCCAACAAGGTCCCAGGTGGGGATAGGAAACGAGCTAAATCCCAAGGCGGTACATGTAGTGTGACTGTCGGGCCCAGCACGCCAGGCTTCAGTTCATGAACAGCTGGTCTCGCTGAAGTGCTTGTTTCCAGAATGAGCTGTGTGTGCAAGGCAGACGCCACCACAGCCCACAAGCCCGTCACTGGGGGCAGTTGTGGACATGCCATCATCAAGCCCAGCAGCCACGATGCGGACACAATGCTCACACAAGGCTGCAGAGTCTGACTGGAGAAAGAACTCAGAATGTGTCCAGCTGGTGTCGAGGGAGGAGTGGGGAGCCCTGTCAGTGCAGTGGGATATCCAATACCCCTTTTACCATCTCCCCACCCCATGAGGATAGTGAACTTGGCTGGGATGGTTTCATAAGTGCAGCTGATCCCACATCAAGAGCTCTGTGCGTGGGGAGGACTCACAGGGGGCCGGTGCTCTCCGGAACAGCCAGCATTAGGCTCTCAGGCATTAAAGGTAATACTGGAAAGGGGCTTGTGTTCCAGGGCAAATCTCCTCACAAAGGGAAGCCAGCCGAGTCTCTTCTTGAGCAGTGGGGTACAGCATGTCCAGGCCCTCCTCCCCAGACTGGAGGAGAGGATGTACATCAGTGCGCACCAGTGATCAGAACCCCAGGAACATGAGCAGTGGGGACTGAGGAGGCCGGCTCCTCCTCAGCTGGGGAAGGGACAAACGGGCCTCACAGAAGCCATAACAGTGTGGGGAGGACGGGGGGGTCCCTAGGGCAGGGGGGGCCCATTGACCCCTGGGTGGTAGAAGGCACAGCTGTTCTCATAGCGGCAGTTGCCCTTCATCATAAAGTGTCGGCAAACAGGGCGGTTTGACATGTCTGGAAAAGACAGTGGGACAGTTAGATAGGAAATGGCCACCCTTACCCACCTCCAAGCCCGTGAATCCTGAGAAAGTCAGAGACAGAGCCTTGGGGATTTGGGGGGAGGGCAAAGGGTAGGAACAGCCATGCATGCTGGGAACAGGCGACCTCATATTCTGCCTGGCATACCCGGGGTAGTGACACTCCCCCAAATCGTGTGTGGCAGAAGAGCCAAAGAGGGGCCAGGGATCATCCTCACCTCCTCCATGGCTGTGGCCTCCATCGTGCCCTCGGTGGCCCCCTCCTCCGTGGCCAGGGCCATCATGGCCACGGTGCTCATGAGGTGGCCCTCGATGGTCATGGCCTCGGTGACCAGGGACATCATGAGGCCGGTGGCCATGAGGCCCCCCATGTCCAGGGCCTTCATGGGGGCGGTGTCCACCATTTCCACCCATGCCACCGCCAGGACCTTCGTGAGGACGATGACCACTGCCACTGCCCATGCCACCACCAGGGCCTTCATGGGGACGGTGTCCTCCACCCATGCTACCGCCAGGGCCTTCATGGGGACGGTGCCCACCACCTCCAACCATGCCTCCACCAGGGCCCCCTCGTCCATTTGGGGGTCCTCCTCCAGAGCGACCTCCTCTGGCCCCTCGAAATGGAGGAGGAGGAGGAGGTTCATTTCCTCCTCGGCCTCCACGACCTCTATGGTATGGTCCAGGACCAGGACCTGGACCCCCCCGCATCGGGCCACCCCGCATGGGGTCACCAGGGCCATCCCAAAAGGGATCGCCCCCCCGGGGAGGGGGTGGGGGACCCAGGAGACGTGGACCTACTGGCCCACCAGGGCCCCCAGGGCCTCCATGGGGACCTGTTAGGAAAGAAAGGAAGAGAGACAATGTCAGCTACCTGTTAAACTCAGGGACTGCTCCCTCCCACCCTAAACCACCTCCCTCCTTTTGGTCAATCCCATATTACCAGACCAAAGTTAAGCAGATGAGCCCATTCCAACCTCTCTCTCTCTCTCACCACCTACCTGGCATAGGTCCCCCAGGACCGGGGGGGAAGTGCTGCATCCCCTTGGGTCCCCCAGGGCCTCCTTGTGGGAAACCATTGGCTATTGGACCAGGGCCTAAGAGTCCATGTGGCACTGTTAAGGGAAAGGGAATCAACCTGTCAGCAGGAGAACTCTGGAAGAGCAGCATGTCTTCTCACTTTTGTATGCCCAGCTGATTCTCCAAGACCGGCCTAGCAGAGCAAAGCTGTCTGGGTCTAGTCTCCACCTCGCCCCCTATGTCTGGCCACCAAGTGGCATAGAATCCCCCTGCTCCCACAAGCCCATGCAGGCGTCCTCCCCGCCCGGCCCTAATGATTACCCAGCATCTGCTTGATCTTGTCCGAGTAGTCCGGCTGCTTCAGCAGTTCCTCTGAAGGATGACTATTTGGGCTACCCTGCGAGGCAAAACAAACAGAGAGCAACATCCTCATCAGCAGAGAAAGGGAGAGCCAAACGAGGAGGAAAGTGGGAAGCTGAGGCGGCCTGGGAAAAGAGAAGGGGCTTTCCAGACAGCGGACAAGAGGGAGGAGGGCTCGTACCATGATGGAGGTGAGGATCTCTTGGACATTGATGCCTCCTCCTCCAGGACCCTGGGGGCTCTTCCCAGCACCCATGCTTCCCATAAGATTGGCCAGAACAGGAGGCAACTTGGAGCCACTGGCCCCATCAGGTGAGCCGCCGGCCTCCCCAGGTTCCAGAGTCTCAACATATGGGGTCTCATCCATGGAACACTCCTGAGAGCAGAACGGAACAGTGAGGTCAACTACTAAATGAAGTAGTCTCCCAGGAGAGCCGCAGTGACATTCAGTCACAACCCCCACCACCACTTCACACTCACCTCATCTAGGGGGATGAGCTTCGGGGGTATAGGCTCATAGGGCTCAGGATCAGGCTCGTGAGGGCTAGCAGGAATGGCCCAGGGGAAGCAAAGGAAGACCAACGGTCAAATGACTCATTCAGGCCCTCGAATTTCTTCCTAACCTCCAGCCTCTCCTTAACCACCCAGGCATGCTCCCTTCAGGAGTCCAAGCGCTCGGCACCCCAGGGCATGAATCCCATTCTGCTCACCTTTCCTTGTTCAGGAAGAGCTCCTGAAGGATGCCTTTCTCCCGCTCAGCCTGGATGTACCGCTCCTGGCTGTTGCTTCCAGGGGTGACAAGAGGTGAGGGCAGAACCAGGGGCCGGGGGCACACCCACGGCACCTTCTCCTCCATGTTGTCATGGCTCAGACGCCGGGCCGTCTCAAACGCATGTCGGTCTGACAGGATCTCTCGCTTTGCTGCCTCGCCAAAGTCCTTGATCTTGTTCACATTTACTATTGGCAAGGGCCAGACGCAAGAGGGAAGGTAAGTACAACCACGCCCTTTTCCACACTCTCTGTACCCACCTATCCTACAGAAAACCTGACTTCTAACCTCGTTCAGTTTCATCCAGTTCAAAATAGAAATATTCCCTCAGTTTGCCCTCCTCAGGCCACGTCACAGTTTTCCTCTTCCTGCCTTTCCGGGTCAGCTGGCTGGGATCACCAGGACTCTCCACTGGTTTTGCATCCAGGGCTCCTGGCTCCAAAGAGGCTGTAAGCAGGAGAGGTTTCAGACCCAGGCCCTTCCTCTTACAGAATCCCCAAAACCTGAATCACTTTCTCAATTTACCTGGGTCCAGGAGCTCTGGGACTTCCACAGGGGGAACTGGGGTCCCTGGACGGTCTGTGTCCATAGCTTCAGAAGGAGGTGCTGGCTCCGGGGAAGAAGGCTTGGCTGTGCTTGGCTCTGTGCTTGTTTTCCCTTCAAACGGGCTTGGCTGCCATGAAAGAAAAGGGAGTTAATGAGCTGACAGGAAAGCCAAGGTCAAGGCAAGGCAGTTATAGTCCAGTGTCCTAGGCAGGATGCCTGACAGTTCATATAAACGAAGACCTATGTCAAATGCTGCCCACCTTCATGTGACCAGTCTATATCTGAGACAAATTCCTTTTGCCCTCCCCAAGTCCAAGCTGCTGGGCCCTTCCTTTTTTTTAAAATCTGTTTTTGTTAATTTTAGAAACAAAGGAAGGGAGAAGAAGAGAGAAAAACATTGAGTGGATGCCCCCTGCACGCCCGCTGCTGGGGATCACACCCACACCCCAGGCATGTGCCCCAACCAGGAATCAAAGCGGTGACCTCTCGGTGCATGGGACTATGCTCAACCACTGAGCAACACTGGCCACGGTGCTGGGCCCTTCCTGTGACTTGACCTTTACACGGTCACTGACACCTCCCACCCAGGGCCATACCTTGGCAGCGGTAGGCGACAGCACCTTCTTCTTCTTCTTAATTTTGATGCCTGGAACGGGGGCCGAGTTGAGAGCATCCAGGAAGCCCAGGCCCTCCATAGCTACAAGAGGATCAAGTATAAATGGAACTATCACAGCTCCTTTACAATCCTATTCCTATAGACAAAGTCTGGGCAGAAAAATGGGGCAGTGGAGACCCTGCCTCAATTTGGGACCAATAGCTCAAGGTGACCAGAAAGCACATGCACAAGAAATTCCCGGCTTTACTCTTTCTGCTGTGCTTCTGGATGTGAACTTGAGCTCAGATAACTGACAGAGCCAGCCCCGTGGACATGACCGATCACCCTGACAGCTGGGAGTGCCCCTAACCAGTCAGTGAAGAGCACACCTCCCATCTCATTTCTAAAATCATTCCTAAGTAATCCTATGAAACAAGTTTCAGAGGAGCAAAAATTAAAGGACACCAAGAAATCAAAGGAAAATGGAGGGAAACATTAAAGAGAAGGAACATGCCCCACATTCATTCCCATGAAGTTTGCTCCCAATTCAATACGTTTCCCCACTCTGCACTCACGCTGTGGCGGGATAATCTTCACTTTGATCTCTTTGGTAGCATTGGGTGTTGTGTTGAGCGGCTTGTACCTCTTCTCTGCATGGGGCGCAGAGTCTCCTGGGGCAGCTGCCGAGCTGTTAGAAAAGGAACCATCAGCAACACCGTTCTCGAGTCCTCAGACCCAGCCCATTCGGAAGCCCAGCACAGGTCCATACCTCTGCCGCTTGAGGGGGATGGGCTTAAGGTTGTACTTGTCAGAAACCAGCACTGCACTGGCACTCTTCTTCACAGGCACCAGGGACGGGGTCTCCAGCTCCAATCCTGAGGAAGAGACATGGGGTGGGGTTGAGCTCACACCCCACCCTCTTGACTTTTTGCTGTTAAAAATTTTTTATTGACTTTTAGAGAGGGAGGGAGAAAGAAACATCAATGTGAGAGCGAAATATCAATCTGCTGCGTCCTGCACGCCCCCTACTGGGTATTGAACTCACAACAACCTGGGCAGTGCCCTGACCTGGAATCAAACCAACCACCTTTCGGTGCACAGGACAATGCCCAGCCAGCTGAGCCACCTTAACTTTTCCTTTTGGTTCACCTAGCCTTGTAGAACTCTAAGTTTCACCCGCTAGCCTTCATCTCTTCGAGTATCATAATCCAGCCATTTTGCCATGAGGCCCTGGGTGTGCACATGCCCGCCCCCTCCTGGGGCCAGCCAGTAGCCTCACCGGTGGAGCGGAACTTGGCGTGACTGGGCGCTGTGGTTCGAAGAGACTTGGGCTTCTCCTTCTTCTTCTCTGGGACCTCCTCAGCCCGAGGCTCAGCTTTCACCTCAGTTAAAGGTCGCTCAGGAGGGGTGGTTCGACCCTTTCCCTCTTCTTTCCGCTTTTTCTTATCTTTCTCTGTTGTGGGAAAACAAAGTAGAAAAAGATTTTATTTAGATAAAGAGGAAGACTGCCAGGCAGAGGTGAAGTAGGCTGAGGACACTGGAGGCCACCCCCCGTGGGAATGAATCAGTAAGGGTAAAGGACATAGGGCCTCACCAGCAGGCTGGGCACCACTCTGGGAGCGGATGACAGCCATCCAGTCGCTGACCAGGACTGAGGCCAATTTCCGGAGCTCTGCAGGTGACAGAAAGAGGAAATGCCTAAATAACTTAAAATATTATCCTTCCAGTAATAGAAAAGAGAGATGTTTGAATATTTATTGCAGAGTACATTATAAAAACTACACCAGTGCTTCATACATTTAGGGTGGGCAAAAGTAGGCTTATAGTTGAGTATGTTGAAACAGAGTTTATTCTGGATTATTTATTTATTTGTAAACCTACTTTTGCCCATCCCTATATATCTCCTGTAATTATTAAAATTTGAAGATTTTAATTTTTTTTAAAAAGGGTAATTGCATATATGCACAACGCAAGGACACGGACAATGGTGGAGAGAGGGACTGGGGAGGGGGAAGGGACGGGGTGGAGCGGGTCATTGGGGAGAAAAAGGGACATCTATAATATTTTAAACAAAAATAAAATTAAAAAAAAAAAAAGAGTAGTTATTGAGCCTGGCTGGTGTGGCTCAGCGACTGCACATCAACCCACAAACCAAGAGGTCACCAGTTCGGCTCCGTCAGGGCACATGCCATGCCCGAGTTTCGGGCTTGATCCCTAGTAGGGGTGTGCAGGAGGCAGTTGATCAAGGATGTTTCTCTCATTGAAGTTTCTATCCCTCTCCCTTCCTCTCTCTCTAAAAATCAATGAAAACATATCTTTTAAAAATTAAAAAAGAAAAAAAATAATGTATTGATTTTTTAGAAAGAGGGAGTGAGAAGAAAGAAATACTGATATGAGAGCGTAACATCGATCAGCTGCCTTCTACACACCTCTACTGGGGATTGAGCCCGAAACCCAGGCACGTGTCCTGACAGGGAACCGAACCAGCAACCTCTCTGCGCAGGCGGTGATGCTCGACCGACTGAGCCAAATCAGCCAGGGCCAACAACCTGAAGATTTTTTTTTAATCCTCACCTGAGGACATTTTTTCAATTGCTTTTCAGAGAAAGTGGGGTGGGGGGAGCATCAATGTGAGAGAGACACATCATGCCTCTCGCAGCCACCCTGACCAGGGCCAGGGATTGAGCCTGCAACACAGGTACATGCCCCCTTGGTTGGAATTGAACCCGGGACCCTTCAGTCTGTGGGCCGACACTCTAACCACTGAGCCAAACTGGCTAGGGCAACCTGAAGATTTTTAATTCCCCACCAGAGACACAGAAGTACAGAGATTAATCACAAAACTAGAAAGCGGCAAGTAAGAACCCAATACTTATGTTCTTCCCTTTCTGTTAAAAGAACAGAAACTGGCTGCCTGGTGTGGCTCAGTGGTTAGAGTGTCAGCCCTTGAACCAAAGGATTTTGGGTTTGAGTCCCAGTCAAGGGCAAGTACCTGGGTTGCAGGTTCGATCTCCGACCACAGTTAAGGGGTGTGGGGGAGGCAACCAATGGACACATCCCTCCCGCCTTTCCACTCTATCTAAAAAAAATTTTTTTTTTAATTAATGGAAAAAACATCCTCAAGTGAGGATTAACAATAAAAACCCAGAAACTAAAATCAGGAGAAAGGTAGGCAGAGTCAAGTCTCTGAAGGGCTACTAGATTCTAAAACAAACAGCATTATTCTGCATTGTCCTAAAGGCAAACTTAATCTCAAGTCTCAAGGAAGCTGATTTAGATCCATCTTACAAAAGATTTTCTAGGCAATGTTTTTTTCCAGAATACTGCAAGTGATAACTGCTTTTTAAAAATCAATTAAGTAGCCCTGGCCATTGTGGTTAGAGCGTCAACCCACGCATCGAAGGGTAGCGGGTTTGATTCTGGTATAGGGCACATACCTGGGTTGTGGGGTGGCTCCCCGCCCCCAGGTCAGGAGGACTGCCAGAGGCAACTAGTCGATGTTTCTCTCTCTCTCTCTACCCATCCCTCCCTCTCTCCATCCTTTCCACTCTCTGAAAAGCAATGGAAAAACACAGCCTCAGGTGAGAATTAACAACAATAAAAAAAATCAAGTATAGCAAGGGTGAAAAAGAACTTAAAAACAGACCAATTTAGGGTTACAATTTATCTAAAGAAAAAAGTCCAGAGAATTTTAAAGAACAGAATTTGTTTGTAAATATGGAAAAAATACCTCTGTAGCTCTTTCCTTTTGTACTTGGCAAATAACATCTCATCTATGTTCTCTCTCTTCTTGCCAACATTTCCACTTACAGACTCATTTAATAATGAGATTGTCATATAACATTAAAACCTAAATTTTCAAAATAGTCACACAACTGGCAATTTCTGTACCTAAGGCAAGATGAATGTCAATGCATCCCCAATGCAGGAACACCTCAAAACCTTTTTGGAGCAACTGATACTATGGTCCAGTGAGAATTCATGACAGTGGATAATGAAAGTACAAACTTCTATATCCAGAGGAAGTATAATAATTAAATCTGTATTTAACGAAGGCAGCACAGGGAACAGGATACCTGACAGTGAGGGAACAAAAGATGGGCAATGACTCAATGGGCTCTTCTGGGGTATATATTATACTACAGGTTTATTCTTAAAGGTACTCTGAGATGTCACAAAAACAGCAAAGTGCTCTGTATCTAAAAGGACCTAAAAACTGGGAATTAATACAACTGAAAGAACTGAAAGGTAGGGGCCCTGGCCGGTGTAGCTCAGTTGATTGAATGTGTCATCCCATGCACAAAAAGGTCACTGATTTGATTCCAAGTCAGGACACATGCTTGGGTTTCAGGCTCAACCCCCAGTAGAGGGCATACGGGAGGCAGTCAATAGATGTTTCTCTTTCTCCCCTCCCTCTCTCCAAAATCAATAAAACCATATTATAAAAAAAAATTGAAAGGGAATGTTTTTCACCTAAACAATACTGTGAGTTAAATCCTTTATCTTCTTTTTTTATTGTTGACAGTATTACAGATGTCCCCCATGTTATCCCCTTTGCCCCCACCCCACCCCCAGTCTTCACCACACTATTGTCTGTGTCCATGGGCTATGCATATATGCATATAAGTTCTCTAGTTAATCTCTTCCTGTCCCCCTTTGAGATCTGTCAGTCTGTTCCATGAATCCATGCCTCTGGAACTATTTTGTTTGTCAGTTTATTTTGTTCATTATATTCCACATATATTCCTCATCACATGAGATCATGTGATACTTCTCTTTCTCTGACTGGTTTATTTCGCTTAGCATAATAAATCCTTTATCTTAGAAAGTGTTCCCAGTGTTTTCTCCTATAGCTAAAAGAACTTCATAAAGGCTAACCCAGGCCTAGATGCTCCCTCTACACCAAATAGCCAAAGCCTCTTTCCAAAAGGGCCTAGCACACCACCCCTAGTACACCACTCCCTTTAGACCAAGAGCAGATCTGACCAGGAGGAGATCAAGCACTGCTAGAACACTGCTCACTTGCAGGATACTAGGGTCTTATGCTCCAGATTTATGCTGTGGGTGTAAAATCTTTGGATATTGAACCCTTGGGTACACACCATTTTTTCCTCTAAAGAAAAGTCTGTGATTTTCTGGAGCGAGGCTCTAACTTCAAGCCAGAACTGTATGGCCATGGCCAGGAGCTCCAAAACCCTGCCTTAGAAAAGGGAAGATCTGCTGCTATGAAAGCTATGCTATACTCCAGGAGTTGGGATTCTGCCCATGCGCTACAGGAAGGTGTTAAAATGGCAGAACTACTATATTATGTAGAAAAAGAGAAGTCAATGATGATGAGACACTCTACAATGACACTTTTTCTCCCCAAAGAATTTTAAGTGTATGACTTTTGCACCAAGAGTTCTCTTTTTTGTACATTTTATTTATTGACTTGAGAGACTGATTTGCTGTTCCACTTATTTATGCACTCATTGGTTGCTTCTTGTATATGCCCTGACCAGAGATCAAACCCACAACCTTAGTGTATTGGGACGACACTCTAACCAACTGAGCTACCTGGCCAGGGCGCACCAAGAGTTCTTAAGAATCAGCTTCTAGCCCTGGCCGGGTAGCTCAGCTGGTTAGAGCACCGTCTTGATACACCAAGGTTGCTGGTTCAATCCCTGGTCAGGGCACATACAAGAAGCAACCAATGATGTATAAATGAATGGAACAACAGAACAATGTTTTCCTCTCTCCCTCTCTTTCTCTAAAATAAAAAATAAAAATAAAAAAGTTAAAAAAAAAAATCAGTTTCTAGTCAAAGTATGGTATACCTTATCTTACCCTCAATAGTAGAGAAATGAACAAATCCTATTCGAAATTGAGACTAGGAGAGAGGGGAGAGGTTAGAGGAACTAAATTTTTAAAAGAGAGGAAAACAAATTGAGGTAGAAAGAGCAAGGAAGAAGGTCCAGTCCAAGAGTGGGGCCAGGCAGGAGGGAATTACGTGGAGTAGCAGAGGAAAGCTCAGGCGGGGAAGGGCTGGCCCCTACCTTCATCCTCACTTGACTTGCTCAGCTGCTTCACCAGTTTGGCTGTGTTGTTCTGTGAGAGACAGGGAGCAGCAGAAAGGTAAATGCCAGGAGGACAGAAAGGCCACTCACAACTAACAACCCCCCAAACTCACAATCTCTTCTCAGCCCCTTAGTGGCTAACACTGATATTGTACTTTACCTTTTATAAAACCTTTGTGGGCATAGTCTTATTTAATCCTTAATATAATCCAGTTAGGTAGGTACAATTATTCCCATTTTATAGAAGAAAAAACTGAGGCTCAGATATATGGAGTGCCCCAAGCCACACACCTATTAAAGGAGATAAATTTGAACCAAGTCTTCTGATTCCAAATTCCTATTTTTCCTACCATTCTCTCTCACAGGCCCAAAATCACAGTCACCTCAGAGTCAGTGTAAGTTTTTCATCTGTCAGGCTAAACTAAAAGGGACACACTGAGGTGGTCAAGACCAAAGGTACCTGCTTGAGGTGGTCCACGGTGAGTGGTAGGTGCTGCAGGGTCAACAGAATTTGTTGCAACAGGGGCATGTTGTTGGTCGTCTTTGAATATGTCAACCAATTGTTAAGAAGCTTGTAGCCACCAACATCAATAAACCTGTAGGCAGGTAGGAGAAATATCTGATGCCCTTCCCGGGTTTTGGAAGGGTCACATCCCACACTCCTAGTTCCCC